AGACGCCCCATAAGCTTTGATGCACAGTGCCGGCGTTTATGGGCCGGGGTACTTTGAACGTACCACGCCACCTCGCGTGTGTACCTCCTCCAGCCTCTTGCTGCTCCATCCCAAGAAGGCACTGAACCATTGCCGTCGCGGCCATCATTCATGTTGACAGGAAAAACTCAAACTGAAAGAAAAGTGAGCGTCCCTTCAGGACGTTCTGGAGAAAAGATGTTCTGTCCTCTGGCTCGGACAGGGACCACGTTGTAGAAGACGACAGGACTGGCACCGTCAAGTGAAGAATCACGTAGCCCGCAACAACCAGTCTGGCAAGGCCCTATCAACCTTGCTCCGCTGCCAATGCAGCGAGTAGCGCAGGGGTAAGGTCTGGAGGTTATCGCAGCAGAAGCGCACACAGCACTAGCTTTTCTATGACCGCACTGGTCACACGTAGCACGTCATGGCATAGCCGGATGGCTCACAGAAAAGGGGCCCCTAGCTAGGGCCAGAATGGCAGTGTCGATAAGGCTTGGTTCTTGCAGTTCCTTAGTATAACTATTACTATACTATAAAGTACTAAAAAAAAACCCAAAACCCTAGTCTATATACTAAGGCCCCTACATTATAAGCCCCATGACTCCAAACGATAGCGTGTCTGCCGAGTAGCGCAGTGCTCTGGCAACTTTGGCCAGACGCAGCATTCTCAGGGCCCAGACCTGCTTTGGGTTTAGGGTTTAGGGTTTAGGGTTTAGGGCTTATAGGGTTTAGGGTTTATGGTTTAGGGCTAGGACGCCTCTTGGTTCCAGAGGATGTGATATAGAGGTCTTAATAATTAGAATAGGTTTTGGGGGTAAATTAACTATACGATGTTTACAAATATCAGGAGCCCCAAACTAATATTTGATAATTATGCAGGCCCCTATGTTAAGACTGTAACTCCGGCATACTGTCTCGATGCACCCAAGCATAGCCAAAAGCCGGCCTCTGTTCTGGCTTCGGGGTTTTTGCATCTAAAACATCTGAAGCTTTCAGGTGTGCGCCGCTAAATTGGGTTGCTCACGCAAATCACCTCAGAACACATAACGACTACATGGTTTGTGCGGTTAACAGAAAGACCTCATGAATGTAACTTGATTCTAGATAGTGCAAGAGGCTGTGTAAGGATAACACCAACAACAAGCCGCGCAAAGCGCAAGCTTGTAACGAACTCGAACTGAAGGCACATGACCCCAATAAAGCACATGGTGCCTGGCATGATTCTCCCGACATTCTTAGAGTATCCGAGAATAGGGGCAGTTCTCGAAATCAGGGTCCCTACGGCACCGCTCTAAAACAGGTCACTAAAAGGAACCTAATTTAGAGAACTACCCAATGGGGCACGCATTATGGAAATACAGGATTTTTTGCCATCAGCCTTTGAACACTTCAAATCGTGTACCCTGCTGCCAGCCCAGGCGCATTGAAGCCCTCGTCGAGGCCAGCAATAAAGCTCGCCTGCATAGAAACTACGGTCCTATGATGAAGGCTCGAGGGGTTTGTGCCGCTCCTCCATAAGCCTTAAAACCCTAAACCCCCAAAACCTAAATCCTAAACCCAAAACCCCAAAACCCTAAATCCTAAACCCCAAAACCCTAACCCCCTAAATCCTAAACCTCAAAACCCTTGAGCGCTGGGGCATTGATTATCAGGTTCAAGATGGTGGGAGTCGGGCTTTGGGAGGGTGCTTCCAAGCTTCGAAACACGGGGTCTACCTGTAGTCTCCATTGTAGCTCCTTTTTGGGATTATCTTATAGGATCCTAACTACAAAAATGGGCTCTACGTAAATCAAGAAAGGAACTACAATCGAGACTAGAGGCTGGGCTGGGAACCGAGGAAACCGAAGCATTCAAACGATATGACTCTGAGAAAGCCCCTACCGAAGTTCCTGAAACTAAACCGAAAATGAAATGTCTCAGCAAACCCAACCCTTCACCTTCGGGTTGGGTAGTCTCTGACGGGTTTAGGGTTTAGGGAGCGGGTTGCGTTTAGGCTTTGGGATTTCTGCCTTGAGGGCTTAAGACTTGAAAACTTTACGATCATCGAAAATAAAATCGGAACACTAGACTCGTCACTAGACCAGAACCCAAACCCAAAACCTTAAGCCATCAAGCTCCAGGACCCATCGAATGCAAGTGAGCTGCACTGACGGACAAGATCGCCTGGCCATGGGGCTTCACGGTTTATCTAGGAGCCGTTACAACCAGAATACGGCTTTGGGGGACGGTATGCTATACGTATAATGAGGAACCCTAAGCAATTCGTTTCAGTAGCCATTTAGGCGTCTATAGTAACCCCCTTGTAAAATGAAGGCTGTCTATGGACTATGAATATTTCAGTAGGGGCTTGTGAGTGTTTATAGCGATCTTATGAAGGCCGTTCCCGTTAACCTTCGCATCATCAGGCTACTCTGTTTTCTGCTTCTTGATAAGTACGGAGACCCCAAAATCGTGACAGCAGGAGGGGACTACTCAGGGACCTTGAGCCCGTTTTGCAACCCCAAAGTCCCATGGAAACCTCATGACTCCGATCAAGCGTTAGTTGGGGTGGGATACAATAAATGAGGGGATGCACTTTGAAAGATCAAACCTCAATACTAGCATTGCTAGCAGACGAGGAGTGCCAGTTTCCAAGTCAGACTTGGGAATCCCTTTGAGCAGCTACTACCCATAGGCCCCATAGTAGTTCCTTTTGGTATTACCTTATAGGGTTCTAAATATGAACCCCAGAAAGGAACTACTATCGGGCCTATGCGTAAAGGGACGAAAGGTTACAGAGTGTTCTTCATCTTGCTGATCCCGCAGAGACACTGCAGAACTTGCTTGAATACTTGCGAATCTGCTCAAGCAGGATGGGCGGGTGTTCGTCAGTCTTCGCCTTCTGCAGCTCAGCCTATGAACTATAGTAACTACAGCACATCAAAACAGGATCACGCAGGATTCTGGAAGTAATGCTGCTGACTGTAAACCTTCCAAAACAGACAGTCTAGGGTTTAGGGTTTACCCTAAGGGCCCAAAGGACCCAATAATCATATACTTGGGTTACGGATAGTAGTTCTGTAGGTTAGTATTCAGAAGAGTATATTATGACTATTAGGTACTTGGAGCCTTAGGGTTAGGGTTTACAGGTTGTGGAACTCTCACTTCTATATTTGCTTTGAGATGGGGTTTCGAAATTGTACATCTCCATCTGCGCCGAGGGGCCACAAAAAGGTCGATCCAGTTCACAAAGAGACGGAAGAATCGGCAGCGGAGCACTGCAACCTCGTTTTTCTATGGCCAAGGTCTTCCTTTCCACTTCAGGGTACTACAGGGGCCTTGATAAGGCTTTCGACTCACACACTCGCAAAAGCAGGCATGGCGATAAGTGTCCGAGCTTGCTACTTGATATAAGGCTTGGGGCTGATTGCGGACTCGGACTGAAGTCTGAGGCAAGTACTGCGAAGGATGTCTTGTTCATCACACAAATGTCTAGTCTAGCTACACTTTGAGCTAGCAGGGTTTTGGGCTCCTTGATCGTTCAATTATCGTACAATTATAATGAGGAATGCTAGGAATAATATTGGTATTATTTAGGCTTCTATATTACACCCCAGCTTATACCTGAATCAAACAAAATTACTCAAATGGCATACATACGACCTTCTAAGTTCATATGGTTCTGGAGGGGGGAAGGTCTTGCAAAGCTTCGTCCCTCCATCCACTTGGAGTCACACCCCGACCCTGATTGTATTACATTCTTTGGGGGACAGCTCAGTACAACTATCTGATGGTCAGGGTCCTGCATATTAAACCCGAAACTGCCAAACATCAATAATGACAAGGTAACAATAACAGTAACACAAACTAAGAAAAATACGAAGGTCAGACGGATCATGGTTTCAGGCTCGGGATTTCGGGCTTGCGCACCTGACTTTCCAGGGTTGGGGCATCCCAAAAATCACAGGATTCATGTATCAAGGCTACCGATAGGCCCCATATATGGGGTTTAGGGACTATATAGTAGTTCCTGTTTGGGATTACTTTATAGGATTCTAAACATGAACCCCAAAAAGGAACTACTATGGGGCCTATGGGGTATCGGGCTCCAGGGCATGACGACCTAGGGCTCTTGGGCTACGTGTTGAGCCAAGAGCCCCGGAACGGGCCTACATAATTACCCCATACTCCCTTATTCTCTTCGTTTTTCGGATAATGTACCACAATTCTATTCATATTTTCGGATAGTTTACCACAAAACCAGATTCTGCCTGTTAAGGCCCGTATGTCATCCTAAAGGGTTGAGCTCCGAATTGATCAAGTAAGGTCCTTAGAGTCACGGTACTTGTATATTTGGAGCCCTCGGATTAGGGTTAGGGTTTAGGGTTTAGGGTTTAGGGTTTAGGGTTTAGGGTTAGGGCATGTGGGGTAACTTGTCTGCTGCTTCTTTCGGGTGCAGGGTTTCGGTCGAGGCTCGCAAGACCCAGGACAAAACCATAAAGTGCATGTTGGAGGTTCGAGCAACATTGAACCTCTCATGCAGGCCCTGCAGAGTAGTCTACAAACACTAGAACCGCACCCCTAACTTTACAAAACCCAAAAGTCAAGCACGCCGTCCCGATGCAGGATCGGGGATCTGATATGACTCTGCAACTGTTGTGTGTATAGCCATGCGGTTCTGTACCTACCTGATTCAGCGTTTACAAACCCTAAAGCTTTTCAACCCAAGAACCCACACCCTAAGGCGCATGACGTGCTGGTGCAATGAGAAGCCCGCTCTAGCAAGCTCTTATGACTCTACCGCCTAGGTCTGCAGTGATGGAGGGTTGTCGCTCGGGCATCCCATTTGCGCTCCGATTAGTCCAAAAGAGGGTTTAGTGTTTTGCCTCATGCAGGTACTACTGTACAGAAAAATACAAAAAGTGGCACTGTTCTTGTACTTTGAGGCTTAGAGCATGGAGTTCGCCTTACGCAGTGGGCAGATACATGTCGGCGTTTGGTGGCAGGGGCTAGCTCACAGCTATAGTACGCAACTTCATGTCTATTTAGTACCCCGAATCCTTCGAGCTACATAAGTGCGGCTACTACTGACTATAGCCATGCCCTCGGCACGACAACCAAAAAACATACCCAATCATACTCAAAAGGAGCACTTAAACACTATAGCCCTTACTCCGCAGCAAACCCACGCCCAAGCGCTGATATTACAAAGCTTATAGCCCAAAACGTAGCGCAAAAAGTACCAAACTCGTTAACAAACTCAGCTATATCCAGTCTGGCTGCTCTAACCAACACATCCACGCCGAAGATGATGTCCAAGCACATGCTGACCACAGCAATCCATTCTGCAGGGGCGTCTCGGGGATCTAGAATCTATAGTGCCAGGATCTAGGTGCAATCTAGCTTCCCCTTTAAGCCCCCAGGGCCCGAGATGGTTTGGGGTCAGAGCTTCCGCAACCTTTGCTGCAGAGATGCAGGTGTCCTGCTTTCAAGATGCCAGGATGGGATCTTATGTAGCTAGGGACACCTCGGCGTCCCACGAGGTCGAATCTACTGTGGAGGAAATCTCCTGTGTGTTCACCCTGACCGCACGAAGCTCCACGAAGATTAAGGCTCCATATAAGATTTCTATTTCGGTTTAGGGTTTATATGGTATAGGGTTTAGGGGCTTTACCCAAAATAGAACGGCATCAGAGCACTGTAGGAAGACCCTGGGATTCTCAGCGTTTCGGGTGTCGAGAGGTGTGATCTCCGAATGAAGGAGCATTGCGTGGGAGCGCTTGGGACTTGGGAAACAGGCTAGAAGTTTAGGGTTTAGGGTTCAGGGTTGAGGGTTTAGGGTAGGGTTTAGGGTATAGGGTTTAGGGTTATATAATCAGCTCACCCTAACTGACTCCGCGTATAGACTGCTTGCAATCCCAAGGCCGCACGAACTTTCTACGGGCTGTTTCTGATGTCCTACGAATCATGTTAAGCAAGCAGCTTGATAGCCTTCTGCCCAGCTGGGTTCAAGCTTCCGGCACAAGACACGAACATGTGAAAGAGCTGGTATTTTCAGCAATTGAAACGCCAAGCCCAAGCTCAAGAGCCAGTGACCCCAACACGCTGAACCTATTCTTTAAGCTAAACGAAGCCCCAACAAAAAAAACGACCTGTTTTCATCTAAGGCTTGCTGTCACTGGAGCTGATCTTCGCAGTGGAGGGGTGGAGTTTAGATTTGAAATATACGCCTTTATACTGCCTCTGCGGTTCCAGGGGCCTGGCCGCCCTCCATCTATTTCAAAAAGATCCCTGTACAATTGCTGCTATCTAAAACCCCTTATGCTAAGGTATGCGGCACCTTGGACCCCTAGGGTAATCTCGAAACCCTGATCCCTGAACCCAAAACTCCACTCCCGAAGTTCCGCGCCTGGGTTCGGGTCACCCCAGGGGAGCTCGTGCATGCCCTGGAACTCAATAGCCTGACCCACGCTGTAGCCTGGTTCCGCGCCGCAGAGGCTTTCGGATCTTAACATGAGATGATTAGGAACAGGCTGGTCTGTAACCCTAAACCCTCAACCCTATGATCCCCTAAACCCTAAAGCCTGGACCCCTGAACCCTAAACAATAAGCCCCGATAACCGCTTCTCTCACAACAGCAGCCGAGTTGGAACTCCACCAGAAAATTCCTAGAGCTCGGCTCCAGCCCAAATTCTGCACTTGGTGTTTGGGCTTTGGGGGGGTCTAGGGGGGTTAGGGGGGTTTAGGGGGGTTTAGGTGGGTTTAGAAGGGTTTAGGGGGGTTTAGGGGGGTTTAGGGGGGTCTAGAGGGGGCTAGGGGGTGTTTAGGGGGGTTTTGGGGGGGTTTAGGGGGGTTTAGGGTAACCAAAGTATTATATACAATTACAATCACAACACAAAAGCCATAAGAGCATAGAAAGACTAGCAGTAGGTCTTAGCACCTCCTGTTCCCAAAGATGTGGCCCCTACCCTCGTCGCGGTGACGGCTAGAATTACAAACCGACATCGAAACAATGACCCTTTTTGCTGCAGGCTTGCAAGCAAGAACGCCTGGTAGTTAGCCACTCGTCCGCCGACTAATCCCTAAACCCTAAACCCTAAATCAGGGGACTGGAAGCTGCTGCATGCCTCCAGGCATGTACAGTGTACACCATACAGGGTTTAGGGTTTAGGGTTTATAGGGTTCAGGGTTTAGGGTTTAGGGCTTTCTGATGCTTGAACAGATCGTAAGCTTCCTACTACGAGAACCAGGCCCACAATGAAATGAAAGCCTCAACTCAACGACGGAAAGAACCTGCAAGCTTGAAGCGAACAGAAACAACACGGCACGGAAGAGCAAACGGTGGTAGCAGCAACATTTACTGACGTAGCCACCGAGCAGATCGGACGCCGCACGCAGTCATCGTCTCTGAGCCAAAGTTGCCTGCGTACTGGTAGTCAGCCGCCATGATGCCAACGCTGGCCAGCACGGTGGCGCCAACCAAGAGCTCATATCCTCGAGCTTCCACAGTCATATAGGCATAGACTGAAGTTTTGAAACGCTCTGCATGAGTACTAAGTCAACAGGTGCATTCATCTGTGCTCATTGTTGCGAAACCCTCTTCGCCCACCCATCCTTCGATGCCTGAAGATGACCGAAAGCATGAACCCTCAGACCCTAATTCTGGACGTCTGCAAGGAATTACCTAAACCTTGGTCCCAATCTCCGAGTATTGTATTACCTTCGAAAAGACCCTAGAACAAACAACTTTGAACTCTGAACACTTCCTGCATGCAGGGAGTTGGACAGGGCAGGGAAGGCCTTGTAGCACGATCGACGGAAAATTCCAGAAAAGGAGCTTCGATGTCGGGATCAGGTTCGGGATGTGGGTTTAGGGTTTCAGGTTACAGCACTAAGACGAAGAGATCACGCTAGCCAATAGCGAAGGAATGTTCTCTAACTTGTGTGGGTCGTGTTACGTGATTCAACACGGTCACTTCGATAAATCATTCAAATCTCAAAATATAACTCTTTTGTTCTGCTAGTTGCTAGAGAGCACAGTGGTCTAGATAGCTTTCAAAACGTACTCCTTTCTGCGCCCGGGCTTGGGAAACGTTCTCTACCTCACTGTGAATACTCCGCGGAACGCAGCCGCAAAGGCTCACGCTCCCGTTTATTTCGGATCGGATCATTGGCCCCAGCTCTAACCCCGAAGCACTAAATATCGAATGCAACCACCCAAACCAGCAAAAATCCCAAACCGCGAAAGTCTGAACCCCAAAACCCCAACCCAGAAACCCTGTTGCAGAACCCTGACACCCTGAAACATGTGCAAAACTCTACAAACCGAACCTCTAAGCCGTAAGCCCTAAAGCATACATTCTTGCCCATGCTTCTGTCGCTCTCCAGCGCGTGCGCCAAGAGGGAGGCATCCCGCGGCAAAGGATCCGGCGAATCGAGGGACAGGCCGGCATCCTCAGAAAGAGGGGCCTTACCTGGTTTAGGGTTTAGGGTTTAGGGTTTATAATTTGTAGTTTAGGGTTTAGGGTTTAGGGTTTAGGGTTTAGGGTGTAGGGTTTAGGGTTTAGGGTTTAGGCCTGGTACTTGTATATTTGGAGCCCTCGGATTAGGTTTAGGGTTTAGGGTTTGTTTTTAGGGTTTGGGGTTTAGGGAACCTGGCTTTTTTAGGGCTCCTAACTAGGATTTCCTTGTACTAAGTCCTCAGAAAGGTAGGTTCTTTGGGGCTAAAATAGTACTCGGAAAAACGGTAAGGTTCCTTCTTGGAGGCTTTATAAGGCTTAAAAACTTTTTGTTCGTTCTCTTCGGGTTTAGGGGGCCTGTTGGCTTCGAGTTTCTGAAGAGTCCTTACTTATTATAGCTCTACGTTCTTTTTGTTTATAGGGTCGCTTTGTGGGATTAGCTGCTGCAACTAACGCGGCTTTTGCTTTTTTTGCACATGTGATGGTTTGGAGCCTCTTCTCGAAGAAAATCGCCATCATGAGCATCAGATTGGGGTCCTTGGCGGCCCCTGCCGCTTCGAAGGGAGCCTAGAGCCTATAGGGTTTAGGATTTAGTGTTTGACTTCGCGTTTTGTTGCGACGGTGGACCCAGGGAAGGCCAGCATCATGAGCATCAGCGGTGGGCCCTGGCTGCTCCTCGCTGCTCAAAAAGCGCGTTAAAACATACCTATAGTCATAGTCACCATTGTAGTTCCTTTTTGGGGTTACCTTACAGGCTCCTCACCAAAAAAAGGAACCACAATGGAGACTTTATAGGTACCAAAGAGCAATGCGTTTTTGCACTGTCACCGCCGACCCTTGAGGTTGAACCATGTTGAACCCTTCCAGGGGCCCGACTGCTTGCCAGCTGATGCGACGTACGAAAAAATGCCGAAACCTGGATTTACGAATTCTCAACTGGCCTCCTGGTCTCTCTCTGTCTCTCTGTCTCGCTCTCTCTCTCGCTCGGCGTCTCTCCGCCTTTCTCCTTCTCTTTCTCTTTCCAGGTTTCGGATTGTGTGTGGGCTTTCAAAACTGGCATAATGCTTTGGGGCAAATTAGGCCATACTCACAAAAAAGAACCCTATGTAATCATGTCATAAATATTCCGAACACAGCCCCCATAAGGGTTCCTTTATGGTAAATTTCTTTCCCTTGGCTACCGCAGGACCCAAGTCCATCAGACCTTTCACTCCTTTCATGGTCCAGATGGGGTTTTGGGTTTAATTTAGGGGTTTAGGGGTTGGGGGTTTGAGGTGTGCCTGGACCTTAAAGAACCTACGTTTCTAGGGTTCTTTGTTAGCAGTCCTGAAACAGGTAGGTAAGTTCTTTAGGACCCAGGTAGGGCAGAAGCCTGGGTAACAAGCACTCACATGCACGGAGAACTCACATGCAAGTTTTGTCTTGAAGAGGCTACCCTAACTTCTTGACCTAAAACCTAAACCCTAAACCCTAACCCCCATAGTTCGGCCCTACTTGACAAACGCCGGCTCAAACCTGAAACACTCATCCAAGGCTGGTGTCCTGCAGCGATTCCCCCTGCGCAGGGTGGTGTCTGATAGAGTTTCGAGATTAGCTGAGAATGAGAACCTAAAATGTTCAAACCCTCAACCCTATTTGTTCGCACTTCTAGATTGAAGACTTGAGACTCTCCGGTGAATTACGATCCATCAAAAGACTCAGGTCTGAACTTTGTCCTCTGGGATCTTACCATTTGGTCTGCAGTTGTTCTTCCCAATTGTCTGAAACTGCAAGTAAACAGAAGTGTCTCCAGTTTATTGCCCATAGGCCCCATAGTAGTTCCGTTTTGGGATTACCTTTATGGAATTCTAAATATGAATACTATGGGGCCTGTGGGTGTGGTCCTGTTTACCTCATCTTTTCTTTCTTGAGAACACCCTAAACCCTCGGCCTAAACGGCTTTTGGGGTTTAGGGTTTAGGGAATCTTGACTCAATTCTGAACTCTCAAATTTGCGAACACCCTGAACGGCACGACTTCATGGACGAAGGGCTCTTATCAGGACGACCTCTGCAGATGAAGGTCCATGAGTTTGGGAACTTCCTTCAGCAAAAGAGGACCGGGGGGAGCTCCACACCCTACTACTTGGGGATCTGCCTTAGACTTTAGGGCTTAGGGTTTAGGATTTAGGGTTTAGGGGTTTAGGGCTAGATATGCGGCCTTCTATGGAACAATGTTTGACTACAACATATCGGACTCGAGTTTGATCCTCAACCGAAACTTCCTGAAAGACTGACTATGGACCCTAACCATTTCCTTTTGGCATCCAGGACCCTAACTATTTCCTAAACCCCTAAAGCCCCAAACCCTAAACACCTCAACCCCGAGATTCCTATAACCCTGCCTTGGGCTTGTTGTCGTTCTTATAGTGCTTGTTGCCTTCCTCATCCATCCAGGGCTTTGCGTTCTCGATCTCCTCCTGCACCGGTGCTTAGGCGCCGACTATCATCGGCATAAGCTTACATCCTCAGCGTTTCATGCCGACCCCTCAAATGCAAAACGAAGGATGTCGGGTCAAGATCCACATGCGCCAGAATCAGAAGGGGTGGTCGATTAATATAAGGGCCGTAATACTTGGAATAGGATTTTGAGGGGTATTGTACTACACTTATCATAAGAAATATAAGTAATTTTCTAGGCCCTACCTGTAACTCTCTTTATCTACAGTTTAGCAGCCATTACCACTTAATTAGTCAGTAGAACCCATAAAACTCTGTAGGTAATTAGAGTCCCAGGTATGTTATGTTTCTAGGCAGTTCGATAGGTCTATTCCTCAATTGAGGGGTCGAGGTCTCTCTGGGAAACGATAGGATGGGCAAATCCGATGCTTTTGCGGAGCTGCGGATGCTTGGGCAGGTCCCCGAACGACACGAAGGCTCTGCATATGACGGCTCTATGAATGTGCGTTGCGTTAGGGGGTCCGGGACTCTCTTCATTTTTGGTTCCAATTTGATGCTGCATGCGGTTGTTTAGAAGTTTTGCACGCTTTTACACGGTCTTAGAAAAGTGTTACAGTGCTACAAGAGTGTTACAAGAGTTTCAGAGCTGAGTGGGCTTTCGGTCAGCTCCAAATTCCAAAAGCAAAGACAAACTGAACTCCAAATAGCCGCAAGAGTGATGAAAGGCTTGCGACTTTCAAGCCCTTTCGGTCCCCAACTCCTGACAACTTCTAGACGCTTCCCATAACAAATACCGTTTCAAACATGCAGACAGTGCACCGAAGAAAGGGATGAAATCCCAATAAGAACCCGAAGAAGCGAATACGCAAACTACCGGGAGCATCGGGAAACTTCAGACACACAAACAACCAGTATATGGTCCCATAAAAACCTTACCACACGGCCAAACGTGTGCAGGCATCCAGAGAAACCTTTATGTGCCTGGATGTCGATCTTATTCTCGAAGGGCGCCGATCTTGGTGCGGGAACTATGGGCGCTAGTCAATATAAGGGCCTTAACAATGAGAAGCTTTTTCGGGGGATGATATTGTAGTATATATGCAGAGTACCGAATCGTAAGGAATAGTATTGGTAATTGTTCGGGCTTCTACTCGTGACCTTGAAGAACAGAGAACTAAGCTGTCGGCTGTAGAGATCAGCAACTCAAGATTGACACTAGGGCCAACAGGTTGTTACAACAAACAACGTAAAGCCCAATCCCTAAAACTTGTAAACCCTAAAAAAACCGTAGAACCCTACACTTGGAGTCAGGGTTTAGGGTTTAGGGGTTTTGGGCTCAGGGGTTTAAGGGCTTCGGCGCTCACCCTCGGACAATCCAGGCGAGGCATAGGGGGGTTTAGGAATGTAGGGTTGAGGGGTTTGGCGTTTAGGTTCTGCTCGTTGTTGTGCCGAATTCTGTTTCATGCTACAGGTGGAATCGTCATGTTTTGAGGTCGCAATCTCCATGCCGCATTCACTAGATCTGTTTTCCTGACCATGGTTGCAAGTGTCATCATTGTCATAAACACACAGCAACGTATCAGTGCCGTCATCATCGCTGTTAGCATCATGTGAGTCGTGGAGTTTACACGAGTACTTACCGCTCCTTCTCCGGATCGATAGGATTTGCCCACCGGACAGCGTCGCGCACCCAACACTAGGTTAGGGCTTAGTACCAACCAACTCATGTGACTCCACGGTACTACTAGCAAACTACCTTAACCTACCAAAACCTACTTTTTTGTAGGTTCTTATTATAAACCCTAATATGGAATTTAGGGACCCCACAAAAAAGTAGGTTTTGGTAGGTCAAGGTAGGTCCAGCCAGGTCCAGGCCTGGGTCTAGCTCTAGGCCATTCAGGCTGAACGGCTGATCAACAAATCTTCTTTTAAAAGGTACTTGCACTTGAAGCGGCCAAAGCGATAAGTGCTCCTAGCTTATAATCTCCTCCGTAAAACATCGCGTAACATGAACATCTGATGGATCTTCTCCGTCAAGGGGTATGGGGCTGTGTACTAACCTATACCCTAAACCCTGAAATGCTCGGTGCTTTGGAGAGGCTTAAAAATTAGATTTTCATTAGGCTTCAATCGCTCTAAATCCTCGGTGGGGAAGCTCAGCATTCAGGGAATGTAGGCTTTAGTTAAGGTTTCGATTGTGGGTTGAGGCTTTAGGTTTTCCTGGGAACCCAAACCCAACAGAAAAGTGGTAATTCAGGGGTCATCACCTACTCATGTGTTGGGTTTGGAGCTATACAGGTTGGGATTGTGGGACTGTGGGGCTTTAGGGGTGCGCGGGTTTGAGGGTTTAGGGTCTCGGATTGAGAGTTTAGGTTAGGTTGGCCATCCCGAAACCCTGGCGCGGACGACAGCTTCGATGTAAGTAAGCCCTAAACCCTAAGCCCTAAACCCTAACCCCTACCCTAAACCCGCCATCTCTGCTAAGCTGCACGGTCATGGAGTCGGCAATGTCGGTCTCCCCCTCCTCATAGGTGGATATCTTTGGACTGCATCAAATGTTGCAGAACCCATTGAGGGTTTAGGGTTGACTTCAAAATGATTTGAAACGACGGAGTGAACACCTTAAGCTAGGGAGGGAGTCTTACTGTGATGATAGGAAATTGAACCAGTGACTGGAAAGGAATACCCGCAACAAAAAAAAATCACCTCAGCTGCATATTCAGTATCATAGCTCCTGCACTTGGGTAGCTACCCATAGGCCCCGTAGTAGTTCCTTTTTGGGATTACCTTATAGGATTCTAAATATGAACCCCCCCAAAAGGAACTACTATGGGGACTATGGGTACAGCTACAAAGTGGTTGAGAAAATGCCTCAACCTGGAGCTGCTGCTAGTTCTAGCTGCGTGTGCCTGCTTCATTTCGAGCTACCCATAGGCCCTAAAGTAGTTCCTTTTGGGGGTTCATATCTAGAATCCTATAAGTTAACCCCAAAAAGGAACTACTATGGGGCCTATGGGTACCTATCCATGATGTTTCAAAGCCTTCGAGGGCGAGGTATGCAGCCAGTATCTACCTTCGGGAGTTAAAGTCCACAGAGAAGACAAGACCTACTTTGGCTTATTCAGGGCGCTAACGGACACGCTGAGACTCCGAAACCCCTTAAAACGGCCATACACATTGAATTGCAGAGACATCGCTTAGGCTGGGGAGTGTGCAGCTGATTTCAAGTATCTTCCTTAAGAGTCCCTTAAGAATCTTCCTTCAGAGTCCCTTATATCTTCCTTAAAAGTCCCTTCAGAAATCTTCCTGAAGAGCCCCTTAATTCCTTAAGAGTTCCTTAGTAATTCCTTTTCCTGAAGAGTCCCTTAGCAACTCCCTAAGAATCCCTTAGCCCCTTAATTCCTTCAGAGCCCCCTCAATTCCTTCTGAGCCCATTCAATTCCTTAAGAGTCCCTTAGTTCCTTAAGAGCCCCCTAATTCCTCAAGAGTCCCTTAATTCCTTAAGAGTCCCTTAAGATTGATGGCCAGCATGCAAAGCCTCTTCGCGCGAGAGTTTAGAATCTGAGCTACGGGCAGATGGAGATGGCGGGAACTCCTCCCCCTCCTCAGGGACAAAAAGAGGTGCGCTGAACAGCTTGAGTAGGCAATCGTAGTTTCGGGATAAACTGAACATTCGGTTGAGGGTTTAGGGTTGTCGGATTAGGGTTTAGGGGAATATATATATATATATATTTTTGTTTTTTTTTTTCTCTCTCTCTCTCTCTATGTGTCTCTCTCGACTTCTCTCGCGCAGTCACGGAGCGTCAACTGGGAGGTAGCCGATTCAGATCCGCAGGGGTAGCTGTCAAAATCATGGACCTATTGAAGGGAGCCCTGCATGATTCTAAAAAAAGTACCCTATACAGACCCATAGGCCCCGTGGTAGTTCCTTTTGGGGTTAACTTATAGGATTCTAAGTATGATCCCCAAAAAGGAACTACTATAAGGCCTATGGGTAGTTTGGAAACCCAAAAGAAACCCGAATTTTGGACAACCATCTGCATAGTCTTGAGTGTGCAGGGGGAGCCAAGAGCCGAAACCAAGACCCGTAAGCCCTAAACCGAGACCCTGAACCCCCAAACCCTTAACTTCGAAACCCTAAACCTAAACTCCTAAACCCTAAGACCCTGAACCCTAAACCCTAAAATTCGAAACCCTAAACCCGAAACTCCTGAACCCTAAAGTTCGAAACTCTAAACCCTAAACTCCTAAAGCCTAAAACTCGAAACCCTAAACCCTAACAACTAATAGGCCACCGACCTCGAAGCTGAAAGGAGCAGAACTCGAAGAGCCCGCCACGCGCGACATCACAGAACCCCCGAAAGCCCCAAACCGTAAACCCTAAACCCTAAACCCCTACCCATAGGCTCCATAGTAGTTCCTTGTTGGGATGACCTTATCGGATCCTAACTATAAACCACAAATTAGGAACTATCATGGAGCCTATGGGTAAAGCAAGAGCACCTATAGCGTCCAGTGAGTTCTTTTTGGTGCTATTTTGTAGGATTCTATCTGTGAGACTTGGTAAAAAACGAACTACAGCGGAGACTAAATAAATAAATAAATATATATATATATATGTATGTATAAATATACACCCTTACTGTCCTGGAGGTCATGGCCTCTCTTGGATCATGGCTTATGAGGTTCTGGACTTGAAACAAGGAGGGGTACTTTGTAAAGCAGGGCATTCATCAATCAAACGAGCATTAGGCTTCGTTGTATACTTTCGAAGGACATTCTTAAGAGCCCTTTAACTTGTAAGAAATTCTGAAGAACCCTAAGGAATAATCTAGCTGATCATTTCGGCCCTATGTGCACTACACCGGCACCAAGCCAAGTCTTCGGCTATGGTGTCAAGCAGCAATTAGCAGGAGGCATAAGAAGAACTGTTTTTGGCTTAAAGGGTTGATCAGATCCGCAACAAAGAATCACATCACCGCACTGTTGCTCAGTGGCAGGTGCGTTTTCTCGTGAGGATCGAAGGGCTCAGCGTTTGGGGCTCTCTTGGTGGCTTAAAGCTTCATTCGGGGTGGGTGGCGATGGATGGTGCCGGCTCTTAGGGTCTATAGGGTTCAAAGTGACTGTATAAGGAGCTTTCGGGCTCTCAGCAGAAGAAAGTTGCAATCCCTCTCCGTACGCGTAGCTCTCAATGCAAGCTCAGGCATCATTATTCTTTCCTCCCACACACAAACTACAGAGAGAGGTTTGGATATAGCAGCCACTGGGTTTAGGTAGAGGTGTAGGTATAGGCATAGGTGTTGGATGAGGACATGGGTATAAGTACAGATACAGATGCACTCGTGCAATCAGACAGGTGGGCGAATGAATGGATGGGCAAATATTCGGTAGAGAACGAATACACCGACGGAGCGGTAAATGGATGGACAGCTCAATAGACAGATAGACCGACCGACAAACCGATATGTAGATAGATACGTAGATAGATATAGATAGATGGATAGACAGACAGGCAGGCAGATAGGCAGGCAGACAGGCAGGCAGACAAAGAGCCAAATAGGTAGGTAGGTGGATAGCTAGGTCGATCGATAGATAGATAGATATTAGATGGTTTGACAGGTGGTAGTAGGTAGTAGTAGCAGAAGTAGTAGTAGCAAGTGGCAGTAACAATGAATCGTTAATTGCCAGAAATTAAAACTCGAGGTTGTAAGTTGTGAGGTTGGCTTGCAATCCCTGGGGGCTTTAGGGCTTGAGGGTAAGGATGTTGAGCTTCAGGCTCGGAGATCACCGCAGCATGTGTCGTGTTCTCCAGTATGGAGGGCATCTATCTAGAGGGCCTAAATGTTGTGAGGGTTTAGGGTTTAGGGTTTAGGGCTTGCATCCTATGAACCTTATGCCCGACAACCCTCATAACAACAACAGCCAAACTGCGACATGCCCCAACAGTCTCAACCCGAAACCCTGAAGGGCGCCAAGCTGCTAGAAAGGTTTCCAGCGGCACCACCTTCGAGCTTGCTTCACAGATTCCGAGGTTCAGGCACCCAGCAAAGGAGTATGTCGGAGATTTCCACTGCTTGCCCGTTTACGTTGTGCTGGCATCACAACACTTCCGTCAACCAATCTAACCTCCCCTCAAGCTTATAAGGGCCAGGGCCACAAGCCGGCGCGGAGCTGGCGGTAAACAGAACTGCAAGACATAAACCCTAAACCCTAAACCCTAAACCCTAAACCCTAAACCCTTACGGCCCATGGGTAGCAAACGATCTCAAGAGTTCCACTTTAACCATTTTGAGCTGGGAAGTTGAGAGGTCGCCATGTCCAAGGGCTTCGGCAAAAGTCCGACACCGATCATTCGAACTGAACCGCGACACATATTATACATATTATACATATATACATATATATATATATATTATATATATATATATACATATATATATATGTAAACATGTAACTTTGAATGCGCAAACATAAGAACATACATTACTCTGTAAAATAATAAACCAATGTACGTGCACATGTATCTGTCTATGCTATATATGCATATATAGAGAAGAAAGAAAAGAGACAGAGAGAGAGAGAGTTTTGCTCAAAAAATACAGGCTTTGGGTTCCCTAGGCAAGCTTCGAGATCTTGACGCTCTCAGATCTGCATTGCCTTCTCGGAAGAGAACAGGTTTGGATCTGGCAGCGTGGTGTCACTCTCTTCGTCGTCTTCCACCTTCACACAGGGAGGGCCAGGGTTCTACGGCTTAGGGTTTAGGGTTGGTTTAGAACTTCGGGCCGGGAGCACAGGAAGCTTTAGAATGCAGTGGTTGACCCTAAACCATAAACCCTGAACCCTTCACGGTTTAGGGTTTAGGGTGGATGTGGCTACCAGTACTGTGCATGTCTGGCCCTCTCAGGTGCCCGCTGCGATACGGGAGTTTCAGAAAATGAGGGTACCTTATTTTGGGGTCCTTATAATAGGGATCCTATCATTTAGGGCACTATATTAGGGTCCCTATTCTCGGAAATCCCCATACGGCAATCCAAACATGCATTGTGCAACGGCTTTTTGTTGCAGGAGGCCTCGTTGTCCAGCAGCCCGGCCCAGTCAAACACACATTCCCCTAACCTACAGCAAGGCGGGCATGCGAACATCCTTAACGCAAGCCGCTTCGGTACGTGGTCTTATAAAGAGTATAGCAACGCAGATACATACACACCCGCAAACAAACCTGAAGATACCTGAAGCTTGATCAAGCCCTATACCCTGAAGCCTACGATCCTATGCCCTTGAACTTTACCCCAAAAGCCTAAACCACGAATCCAATAAACTCCTAAGCTTGAACCTGAACCCCCACCTGAACCACGAAACAACTTTTTTTACACCTGGACTACGCATANNGGACTCGTGCCACACGGCTACCCCAGACTGCAAAAACTGATCAACAACCCTAAACCCTAAACCCTGAACCCTAAATCCTGAACAACCCTAAACCCTAAACCCTGAACCCTAAATCCTAAACAACCCTAAACCCTAAATCCCAACTCTAAAGATTGCAAACCACGAAACAACGGAACCCTGAACCCGACAGAAGGAAGACGGCCTCACGCGCCCGAGACCTTGCAGCTGATGTGGTGAGGGTTGAGGGTTTAGGGTTTGGGTTTAGGGTTTAGGGTTTAGGGTTTAGGGTTGAGGGTTTAGTTTAGGTTTGGGGTTTACACTCTCACTCCTCGGACAAGCGGCAGGGTTTTTTTGCCTCCTACTTAGCAAGGACGAGCCCGCATTGCAGGGTTTAGGGTTTAGGGTTTTGGGTTTAGGGTTCGATCAGCATGAGGCTTCACCTGCAAGTAAAGTACAGAAGCTCAAGTTTTGGTGGTGGGTGTGTGGAGGATGCAGGATGTGGGGGCACAATGGTCTAGCCTTGGTTCGTGTTATTGGGTTTATCTAACAAGAAGATTTACTTATTCTGGTAACTTGAAACAAATCCCTTAGCAAGATGCCAGTAGAGGGGGGACAGGGTAAGGTTGTACTACTCGCAGATCTCTATTGTTGGCCCTCCCTGTCGTATTGCCTCCAATAGTAACGCTTGGCTCGGGTCAAGTTGTGATACTGGTGGGTACGCTCGAGAAGGTTAACGTCCAAAGTGGTTTGGAAGAAAGAAGCTGCACGACTTCGATGACTTGAGTATGTGTCTCTTTCTATGTACACACACATCTATATATACACACATGCGGGACACATACCTACATGATTACAACATACATTACCTGCATACAGTATACATGCATACATGCATGGCGCTACAGTTACATGGCATGTCATGACACGACACAGCATAGCATAACATAGCTAGCATTACAGTACATGACATGACACTACACTGCAATACAAGACATGATATTACACTAAACAACAAACACACACGCACAAACAAACAAACAAACAAACAAACAAACAAACAAACAAACAAGGCAAACAAACAAATAAACATCCATACATACCCTACCTACCTACCTACCTACCTACCTACCTACCTACATACATACATACATACATGCAAAGATACTCTACATACATACATACATACATACATACATACATACATACATACTTACTTGCATACGTACATACATATGTACGTACGTGCATACACACACCCGCTACATACGTACACACATACATACACACATACTCGAACACATAAACACATACATCATACGTACATAACACATTGCGTTGCATACACTGCAGCATGAGATTGCATCAAATTTCAGTACAGTGCATTACATTATGCTACATACCGTTGCATACATACATTTCATACCTGCGCAGTGGACTTAGTAGATACTTACATGTACATACGTGCTTGGTTACAAACACATGTACGTACATGTACATACACACATACATATATCCACCAATCTGTCCATGCATGCATGCATGCATGCATGCATGCACACACTGACACACACGCATGCCTACAGACCTGAAAACATGCACATGCACATACTAACCTGCACATATATGTACACATATGCATATACATGGCTACGTACATAAACATAAATGCAAACATACACATACATGCATACGTACCTACTTACTTACAAAAACCCGTACATGCATTCATGCATGCATACATACATACATACATACATACACACACACACACACATGTACAAACACACATGCACACATACACACATGCACCCACCCATCCATTCATACATACATAGTTGCAGACATGCATGCATACATACATCCATAATCGCACATAGACATAACCATACAGACAAACATACATGCATCCATACATGCAAACATACGTGCATGCACTTACGTTCGCATAATTATAACTGCACATACACACGGTGGCAAAATCTCGGTGGCTCTGTGTACTCCAAGGAAGACCATGATGCAAGATGGCAGTTGTGCCCACAGAAAAGTACCTCCACACGCACCACCTTTTGCGTCCAGCCTGACCCCTACAACCCGGTCCTTGAACCGCAGAGTCTTAAACCCTAAAGCGGTATAAGTCCGAAAACTGTAACCCTAAACCCTAAACCCTAAACCACTGTAGAGCCAAAGGGGCCGTTCCGTTATGGCTGTCCAGGTCTTCTTCTCCACCAAAAGTCGGTCCGCTTCCGCCTCGTCTGAAGTGCTTGACAGTAGGGAGTTGTAGGTAGGGTTTAGGGTTTAGGGTTTAGGGTTTAGGGTCCTTGTAGGTGTTCAGGATTTATGGTTTGGGGGCTCTGCGGGGCCTGGGTGTTGCGGTGTCAAGTGCAGATATGGTTTCAAGGTCCTCTGACCCAAAGTCCCTTAAGTTGGGCTCCAGTTACCCAAATAGCAGTTTACTAGCAATACTATAACATGTGACACAGTAGCCCATTTCTGGGGTAGCCGGAGCCCTAGGCCGCATGTATGTCATGCTGATCACGGAAGGCGGTTGTGCCGCCGGTGCCACTCACGTGCCACTTGGTGGCGACGGTGCTACAATAAGTCGCAGCAGGAAAGAAGTCAACGTGCAGGATAGAGGGTGCAGGCCAACAGATCCTTAGGGCAAGTGGGTAGGTATGCGCACGGGCAGCTGGGAATGCTAAGTAGTTAGGTAGAAAGAACACGCTGGCCGCACCTATGCCAAGCCCAAACCCTACCGTAAACCCCGGGAACGTGCTGCAGATAAGACCGGGTTAAGGGTTTAGCCTTGTATCATTGAGCCATACTTCAAAACTGTCCCTCAGGCAAGAATCACCAACCCGCAGTAGGCCCGAAACCTAGAACCGCAGCGCTATACTCCTTTAGCATTAAATCCCTAGACCCTCCATCTACCCTCTATTAGACCCATTATTTGGGACCATATATAATCTTATTTGAGGGTCCTGGTCCCTTTGAACCGTCACTCATGAGCTCCGTTCTCCAAAGTAGGAGTTAGGATTAGGGAGGCCCTGGGGGGATATAGACCCTCTCATCCCCTGTAAAGGGTCTCCCTAATACTATACCCCAATACTACCTAGGACCCTAAACCCTAAAACCCTAAACCCTAAAACCCTAAAAAACCCTAAAAAAACCCTAAAACCTAAAGCCCTAAAACCCTAAAGCCCTAAACCCTAAAACCCTAAACCCTAAACCCTAAAGCCCTAAACCCTAAAACCCTAAACCCAAAACCCTAAATCCCCAAAACCCTAAGCCCTAACACCCTGAACCCCAAAACCCTAAACCCTAATACCCTAAACCCTAAACCCCAAAACCCTAGACCCCAAAACTCTGAACCCAAAGTCTCCCTAATACCACCCATGCCAAAGCAGACTCGGCCAGGAAAGCCTTGACTTCAGCGAGCTCCATCTGATGGGTGTGTCTGAGCTCCTACGCTGGGGTGTTTGGGTGTTTCAGGAGTTTCAGGGTTTATAGGGTTGAAGGGTTCAGTAAGACCCTAAACCTAAACCCAACCCGAACCCTAAACCCTAGGGAGTTTTGGGTCGCAGCGTACCGGAGACGACCTGACGGGCGCAAGGTTAAGTGGCAGGTGCAGTATTGCCACTCCGGTCATACCGAGAAAGCCCACGACCCTTGAACTCAACATATAGAGCTTGAAGCATGCCGGATATATTATATTCTCATATGGTCCCTCAACTTCGTATAGGTACATTCTTGCAAGGTGCAGAAGTCTTGCCTCAGGGCCTTGTCCGATCCTGTGACGCCCACTGCAAATGCTTGGGTTGATTCAGCCTTCCTTGCAGTGTGCCGCAGCAGCAGGGCAAGATTTCGCATTCAGAAAACGACGCACTGCCCGTTGAACCTGAAAATAACGTGGGATCCCGGCAAGGGTCTCAGAAGATCTTATCAAGACTTAGGGTTTAGGGTTTAGGGTTTAGGGTTTAGGGTGACCATCCACAGTAGGATCAGATCATGTTGGAAAGAAACACCGTTTGAGCTGAGACCTGGATGCTCCTGGAATTGTGGACGGCCCTTAGTTAACAAGAAGATGCTTTCTGTTCTTTAGCAAAAATCAAGAAAGCAGTACACCCTAAATACATACCCCCCAAACCCTGAACTACAACTCCCGGATGAGGCAAAGAGCACAGTTTATGGGTGTGCAGGTCTTTCGCCCTCATATCGTGCCCTATTTCCAAAAGACAGCTGCTTCCTCAACCTAAACACGGACCCACAGCCCTAACCCCAAGTTGGTGCCCAAACCCTAACCCTCAGGCTCCAGATAGCGCAAGGAACATCCTCGTTCTAGACTGTAAGGGTTTAGGGTTTAGGGTTTAGGGTTTAGGGTGGGTATTGTTTCGCCACGGAGAGCCCAGGGTAAGCACTCACCCCTTGACCCCTGGCCCTAAGCCCGAAATCCAAATCCTTCGTCTCCAGAGCTGACTGTAGATCCCTTCTTTAAAGGCCGTATTCATGGGACTCCCTGTCAAAATCACTACACCCGAAACAGCAAAGCCCAAACCCCTCAACACCAAACCCCTCAAGCTTAAACCCGAAAGCCCCAAATCCACAACACAAAACGCAAAAACAACGAAACCCTGAACCATGAAAACACGCCCAAAACCTCCCCAAAGCCCCAAAGTCTTAAACTCTCATCCAAGAAAGAAAGAACCACCGGAATCCTGAACCCAAAACCCTACATAATTAGAGGAAACTACAGGTGGGGAGTTTAGGGTCTATAGGGCTTCTATAGGGCTTCCACAAGGTATATAGACCTTATATAAGGCTCCCATAACGGTAACTACCCACGTGAAAATGTCCTAGATATAAGCCTAAACCCTAAAACCTAAACCAACCAAAAGTCTCCATTGCAGTTCCTTTCTGGAGCTAACCAATGTGATGATTAGGGTCCTATAAAGCAACCCCAAGAAAGGAACTGCAATGGCGACTATAGTTATATAGACCCTACCCCAAGCCTTAAACCCTAAACCTTAAACCCTGAACCTTAATCCCTAAACAAACCCTAAACCCTAAGCCTTAAACCCTAAACCTTACACCCTAAACCCTACACCTTAAACCCTAAACCCTAAACCCTAAACCCTGCACCTTAAACCCTACACCCTACACCCTACACCCTATTCTGACCCAACCCAACCTCCAGAAGCTGCTCGAAAGAAGCAGGCATCTCCCCGAGGGTCACGGACCGCACGCGACCCTCCTGGGGATCGGGGATTTAGGTGTTTGGGGTTTACAGGATTTAGGGTTTAGGGTTTAGGGTTTAGGGTTTTAGGGGATTTAGGGTTTAGGGGATTAAGGGTTTAGGTGTTTCGGGTTTAGGGTTTAGGGGATTTAAGTTACCCTGTGCTTTAGTATACGATCCCAACAGAATCTCCATTGTAGTTGGGTTGAAGGTTTAGGGCCAAAGAACTGCTAATCATGGAAGTCCAGGTACAGGGATTTCGGATCGTGTCCGATAAATGGAGCTACCGAACCCTGATAGAATCCATATGAGAACCCATGTGACACACATGTAGGACTCTAAAGAGCTCCTAAGACAACAATTGTAGAACCTTTGCGATTATAAGGCCCCTCTAGGCCCCCTGAACCCTAAACTCGACTTGGACCCCTATATTGAAGAACCCTTAAACCCTCATACATCCTTCATTCCCGAAACCCGAATAAGACCCCCGACCTCTACATACATACACACATACATATATATATATATATATGTGTGTGTGTGTGTGTATGTATATGAAAATCTATACAGATGACTATAATTATAAGTATCATAGATGATGGCTATAAGTATATCTAGAACTACATATCTATGTATGACAGAACCCTTTTTCAGCATGGACAGAACCCTAAACCCTAAACCCTCAGACCAGCCTTGACTTCGGCCATTCGCCTTCAGCTACGCCCCTCCGCAACAGCCGGGGGCGGAGCTTTGGCGCTGGAAGAGCCGAAAGGTAGGCGGCGGAGAGTTTGGGGTTGAGGGCTTTTAGGGTTTAGGGTTTTAAAGTCTTTAGGGCTTATAGGATTTTAAGGGTTCATAGGATATACAATAGGGTTATATGGTTTAGGGCTTATAAGGTTTAGGGTTTGCATGGCTTAGGGGTGGCGAGCTATGGGGATGTCGGCCGTAGGGCTGTGGTGTTTAGGGGTTTGGGTTTGGGTCAACGGACTACAGTGACCGACCTTCTTCTTCGAGGAAGGCGCCAGGGACTCCTATCGTGCGATCAGATACAAGAACCCAAAGGCTCCATGTACCCATATAGTAGATACTTAGGCCTTAAAGCGGTCCCTATATAGGTACTTTAAGGCCTAAGTATGTACTATATGGGTACATGGAGCCTTAGGGGAAGGAGTGTCAACATTACGGTTTAGGGTTTAGGGTTTACGGTTTAGAAAAAAGGGTTCACGTCAATTCAAAAACTGGTACCTCCTGGCCACAGGGCGATTCTTGTCCCCCACACAACTCCGAAAGATCTTGGTTCAGCATGTCCCTCGATGATCTTAAGATGCGTCGTTGTTGAACCTGGAGATTTCCAACCCCCCACACCACCCACGCCTCTTCCACTCCCCCTACCAGCTATCTCTCTCTCTCCCTCTCTCTTTTCTCTCTCTCGTTTTTTGTTTCTCTCTCTCTCTCTCTGTCTCTTGCTTTATCTCTCTCCTCTCTCTCCCTCTCACTTTTGACTTTTTGTTCTCTTTCTCTCTCTCTTTTTCTTTGGTTTCCACGGGCCCCCGAAAGCCTACCTTCAGGAAATGTATAGGGGACCGATACTCAGGAACCCTAACTGCTTAGATGCCCCAAAGAAACCACTGCGGCTTTTTGATACCCTAAGGGTCCATGTGCCCAAATAGTATATACTTTGGCCCCAAAGCACCTATATAGGGACTACATTGAGGCCAAAGTATATACCATTTGGGTACATGGACCCTTAGGGATATCTATAGGTAACGACACCGTGATCAGGAGAAAACCCTAAACCCTAAACCCTAAACCCTAAGCCCCCCCGACAGTACACTCCAAGGATCTCCGGTCAAAGCTTCAGGAGTCCCCCTTAAACGCTGAACCCTAAACCCTCAATCCTACATTGAGCCACGGTTTAGGGTTTAGGGTTTAGGGGAAGCCAAAAGGTTGGAAACCCAATAGCCTCAAAATCCTGAAGAGCAATGTATAGGCGTTCCCAGCACTAATTGTCCTTAATCCGGTTCCCAACTTTGTGGGGTTTACTATAAGCCCGCCTTATAAAAGGGGCCCTGTAAACGGGACCAAGATCTTCCACACGCTAAACTCATTCCTCCAACTTCTATGGGCCTCTCGACATCCTCATGCAAGGCCCACTAACTCTCTCAACTCCCCAGTGCTATGGAGCCGCGATAAACCCAAATGACAAACCCTAGACCCTCAACTAGGGTTTAGGGTTTAAGGTTTAAACCCAAAGCCCCGAACTCCCTCATCTGAAGGCGTACAGCCTAACACCAGAAACCCTGCAGTACCCAACGTCCAAACCTGATGGGCGCCACGTGCGCAAAGGTGGTTGTACGTAAACCTCATTTAGCCCTTCAAGGAACCCTAAACCCTAAACCCCCTTACAGGTGCCTTTAGGTTCTATTTACAACCTTACCTAAACCCTAAACCCTAAACCCTAAACCAGGAGCCCTTTAAGGAGCCCTTAAACGCCGCAGGCCCAGAGGTGTTTGCCTTCCGCCGCCTCGACGTCCAAGCGTCCTCCGAAGACCTTCACGCGCCCGGTGGCATCCTCAAGAGGGGCTTTCCCTGATTGGTTTAGGGTTTAGGGTTTAGGGTTTAGGGTTTAGGGTTTAGGGTTTAGGGTGACCTTGGGCCCCAAAGTACCTATATAGGGACTACTTTAAGGCCAAAGTATATACTATTTGGGTACATGGACCCTTAGGGTTTAGTTCAGTGACAGGGTTCCAGGCAAAATTTGTTCAGGGGTCTTAAGGTTGAGCTTAAGTTCTGGGTCCTCAGATGAGGAAATTCTGGCTTGAGGGTTTAGGGGTGAGGCGTTAGGTGTGTAACGCCAAGATCTGCGATCTTCCATCAGGGACACCTCAGCCTAAAGGTGTACGCAGTTCTGAGGATTCAGGGTGACACAGTGGCTGCTGCACTACCCATAGGCCCTAAAGTAGTTCCTTTTGGGGGCTCATATCTAGAATCCTATAAGGTAACCCCAAAAAGGAACTACTATGGGGCCTATGGGTAACCTTTACGTACCCGTTCATACTAGACATGGAACTGCCGACAACAAGGTCGTGTGAGAGAGCTAGCACTGTGCAGCAAGGAACATGTGGGTCAATGACGTTGAGGCTACAATCGCCAGAGAAGGCAGCAGATGTCTTTTAGAAAGCAAGTGCATCTGAATGGCACTCATAAGACATAAGACTTTTCACATGAACCCGAAACCCTAAACCCTAAACATATCATGGCTAAGGCGCATGACCATGACCCAAGCCGCTACACCGGGTCCTGCTCGGGTTCAGCCCTCGTAAAGAAATCAAATTAGGAAACACAAGCACTCCAAGCCAGAAATTCACATGGTTGCCTTATGGTTTAGGGTTCAGGGACACAACCCATCTATCGGGGAGACCACTTGAAGAGTTAAGCACCGGGCAGCCACCGCACCCATCGATTGCCGTGGCTGCCAGGTAGCGCGCTCCTTTCCACAGTGAGTACATACATTCCGTTCACGGTCATCATCGCCATCAGCACCAGCATCATCATCATCATCAGCAGCAGCAGCATCATCAGCATCATCATCACCATCATGGGCTTCGACATCGCTATCACCACACTACCATCAGTTGCATGGTTAACAAAAACATTATCAATGAACGCACTCGCCGTCGTCGCCATAATCTTTGCCAAGCTTTGCACTGTCGAAAGCATGGCAGCCGCTGCCACGGTCAGCACCCTGCTCAGCCTCACAGCAATGTCTCGAACCGACGCAGGCTTGTGTGGCATTGCTGATGTTTGCCTCCGACTTCTAGATCCATCTCAAGCGACCTGACTGGTCAACGAACATACTCAATCATAGGGGGTATACATTCCGATAATGACAACAAAGCAGCATACAAGCAGCA